AAGAAACGCACCTCCTTTTTGCACAAGTATTTTTTTCTTTTTAACAAAGGACTCACGAGGTTTTACCAGACACCTTAAAGTTTTCTTATGTTTAGATAATTGAAGTTTTTGACTTTTACTTAACGGCACTTTTCCTAGAAGTGTATTATGTGCACATTCACAGATGCACAGTACAAGATTTTTATCAGCCGAACTTAACACAGCTTTGCGATAGCAGGGTTTAGCTTTTCGCAAAAACTTTAAGACGTCCTCGTTTTTACGTAACAAACGCGACATCCCAATTAATAATGAAGATTATGTTATAGTGCGTCGATATTTATATCCCTTCTTCGGTAAGTACGCACACGCTGGTTGTTCATCAGGCAGCACATTGGTTCGAAATCTAAAATTTTCTGGAGTTTCTTGCTTCAGATCTAATAACAAATATCCATGCGGACGAGATGTTGCATCGTTATAAGCTTCTTGAATGAATTTTACGTCTTCAGGAAATATTTGTCTAGCTAAATGGATAATCTGAGCGCGATCTCTAGGATTTTTAAAATATATTATGTAATTTGAATTCAGCGAAATATCCCTTTGACCCTTGCCTTGGTGAAATAAGTTCTGTGTAATGTAAAATACACTGACTTTTCGATGATGACTACCTTTTGTAAATATATCGACTATACATCCGTTTGTTTCTCTCATTAAATCGTCTATAATGATTAAAGTCGGTTCTTCTCCATCAAAAGAATTTAAATCAGGCATACCTTGGTGAAATTCTATGTTCAATTGTTTCAACTCTTTATTTTCATACAAAAGCTGCCATTCATCAAAGTACCAGTGAATTCTTCCGAATTTTTCATCGCACATAATATTTAAATATTTCAAAAATCTGGTGACAAAATGTGATTTGCCACAGCCTGTCGGTCCGGCTATTATGCCCGTAAAAGGAGCTTTGAATCGCGGATCCATTTCTTTTTTTAAACTGTCCTTCTTCAACGAGTACTAAATTCAAATAACACAAGCACACTCACATTTCGACTATTTTATGTTTGTCTCTTGTACATTCCTTCCCACCTCCTCTTCCCTTTCAAGAAAAAATCAGTTTATTTATTTATTTATTTATTTATTTCCTTTATCGAGTAATTACAATGTATTACACTCGGCCTAACAATGAACAATTGTAATCGTTGTTTTCCCTAAAATATCCAATGCGGTTCTGAACATGGTACCTTAAAGTTTGTGGCATTTTTAACAATATTTCGTACAATATCGGACTGCTTTCGTAACGTTCCTCGATCATCTTTAGTATGGTTTGATCAAAATTTCGATCGTCGCCGCCTCCGTTACTCATAATTTCAAAAGCAACCGCGTCAATAAAGTTATCGTAGTCGGGAAAGACACGACGCTGAATGGTACATTGTTCTAGAGCGTTTTTAAAAAATTGACCAACACCTAACAGAGTTTGAACTGTTTCTACACTCAAATGTAACGCTTCGTATACTTCGTTGTTGTTGGCGATGTGCGTCTTGAATTGTAGCACTTTATTCTTACGCATATAAACACTGTAGTTGGTTAGTTCGCACAACAACACATCGTTTTCTACGCTTCTCACCAGCGGAATAAAGTCTTGCATTTTTTTCAAAAGTTCTTCAAATGCATTTTTGTCGAAGGTCGCGGCACTTGTCAACTCCCGGTTAAAAATTTTCGCCACTGGTTCATAATTACGAAGAGGCCGAACTCCAATACTTATGAATTTGTTTCCAGACTTTGTCAATGGAAAGGTTTTCTCGTTTAATAATCGGTACTTCTCATTTTTGATTTTACGCTGTTCCCCTGCTTCCAGTACTTTCTCCAATTTATCCGCTGCAGCACACATTTGCTCTTCTAATTCAGTATCGCCATCCCAGTCTTCGTATTGTCCCTCCGGCACTCGCTGACTATGACAAACATAAGACCCTTCAGAGGTCGAAACAGAATCTTCCTCGATGTTAAAACGTGAATCATTTAGAACCAGAGGCATGGACGGTGATTGTTGACTGGACTGTGAGTCTATGACTATTACTCCGGGATTCTGCGATGAGCATCTCTGTATTTGAGACTCCATGGCTATTACCCCAGGAATCTGCGATGGGCTTATCTGTGTTTGAGAGTCGATAACGTTCACTTCAGGGTTTGTCACCGTTTCCTGAAAACGAGCCTTCTTGCGACGACCTGATGACAATGACAATGATGTACCATCAGCGGAATCGTTAGTCTTCGAAAAGTGGTACGGTTGCACACGTTTCATGTTCTGAAATGAAAGAGTATTTAAAAAAAAAATTGGTATGAATGTTTTTTATACTTTTTACTTACGATATTTGGAACAGTAACAAAATTCACTGACACAACTATCACTTGACTACCTGGAGAAGCTTCTTCGAAGGGTCGACGAACAGCAACAAATATTCACCAACACAACTAGCACTTGGGGCACTTGGAGAAACTTCTTCGAAGGCTGAAGTGTTGTAGCAACTAAAGACCTGGAGGTCGGCGCTGAATTTATAAGGGTAACTTAACAAGTGAAAGCGCTAGTAATTAAGGTAGTAATTAAAAAAATGAGAGCGCTAGTAATTAAGGGTGCCATTAAAAGGTAATTAATAGGGAAGTAATTACTAGACAATTAATTAAAGTGAAAGCGCTAGTAATTAAAGGGCTAGTAATTAAGACAGTCATTAAAATTGAAAGCGCTAGTAATTAAGGTAATTAATATGGTCCTAATTAATAGACAGGTAATTAAAGCGCTAGTAATTAAGGGGGTAATTAAAAAGCAATCAAAAAGCAATTAAAAATCACTAATTACTCTCCCTTACTACTGCTGTTGTAGACAGGGGATGTCCTCAGGAAGGAGTTCTCTCTCCTGTACTGTGGGATACCGTCGTTGACGGCCTGATACGACGCCTCAATGATCTTGGCTACCAGACAATTGCATACGCAGACGATCTAGTCATTTTGCTAACAGGAAAAACGCAGATACATCATGTGAAATAATGCAAGCTGCAGTAAAAATATTCGAGGAATGGTGCAGCAGGCATACCCTCTCCATTAATGGAGAGAAGACGAAATTAATCCTGTTCACTAGGAAAAGGAAAATTGGCACACTACAGATGCCAAAAATATTGAACACAATGCTTCAAATTTCGGACGAAATCAAATACCTGGGAGTTGTATGGGACTGGCGACTGAATTGGAAGAAGCATGTAGATGATAAAGTGGAAAAAGCACGCTTGGCTCTTTGGCAGTGTCGTAGGATGGTGGGAAGGTCATGGGGTTTAAATCCCAAGATCGCCCTCTGGATCTACACGGTAATACTCAGACCGATGCTGTGTTATGGAGCTTTAGTTTCGTGGCCCAGAGCCAGACAAAAAACAACAGCCCTGAAACTTGAACACGTTCAGAGAATGGCGTGTCTCAGTGTTACAGGAGCAATGAGAACCACTCCCACAGCGGCTCTGGAGACATTTCTTTGCTTAGCACCTCTTAATTTTTACATAGAGGACGCGGCAATGAGGACGTCTCTAAGACTTCAGTCTCTAGGAGTATGGAACAAGCAAGGCCGCACAACGAAGCACACTCGAATCTTAACGGAGGCGTTCAACAGAATACCCTTGTTAAGGATGGGTTGTGACCAAATGGGCACAAAATTAATATATGAGAAGACATATAGAATATTAATGAATGATAATTCAGAAGGAAGAGCCGACATCGATATCTATGTCGATGGTGCCAAAACAGATAGTGGTTCAGGAGCCGGCATCTACTCCGAACAACTCAACACACAAATCAGTGTACCTCTCGGCACCCACACGTCTGTCTTACAAACAAAACTGATGGGAATAATGCTGGGAGCTGGAATCGTTGCTGAACGTGAAATCAATACCCATACTTACTGACAGCAAGTCTGCACTACTAGCCCTGGACAGCTGTATGGTTCGATCCGGGCTGGTTTGGGAGTGCAGACAAACGTTAAGGTATGTAACGCAGAGGAACAATGTAGAACTTTGTTGGATCAAAGGACACAGTGGTAACGAAGAAAACGAGAGGGCAGATGAGATGGCGAAGCGAGTCGCGCGCATGTCCTTCTGGGGACCCGAACCGGCAATCACGCTTTTAGTCGCCCTCTCTAAGGAACTCGTAAAGCAATATACCTATAGCCGCCATGAGCAAATATGGACGACGTTGAGCAGTTGTCGACAAAGTAGAGCTTGTATGGCGACAACAGACCGTAAGTTGACGAAATTTTATCTCTCACTTTCAAGGGACAAATTGCGTAGACTGGTAGGATTCTTTACAGGACATTACCAATTTAACAAACATCTACATATGATAGCAGTGGTAGCAGACCCAATTTGTCGTGGATGCAATGAAGAAGAGGCACATTCTTCTCGAGTGTCCAGCCCCAGCTCCCTTCAGGGAATCCATACTAGGGTACATCTGGCCTAGTATGGCAAAAATCAGGGAGTTTCCACCCTCTGCATTACTCAAGTACATTCAAGCAGTTGGGTGGTTTGACGAGTAAAGGAGCGGGAAAACACCCTATGGACTTGGGGAAGGTACAATGGGCCCAAAGGCGAGACCTAAGTGCCGGCTGGCTACGATCAGCCCCCATAAATTAAAAATCCAAAATCCAGAATAAAAGAATAAGCGAAATATATGTATTTTACTAGCAAAATTGTTGTTTTAACGCAACTGTTTTTAAATTTATAATCATTATTTTCTCTCTTTCTGTTTAACCGACATTTTTATGTACTTTGTTCTTCATGTCATGTTCATGTTTGACAACTGTGACAATGAAAATATGGTCTGAACGAAAAACCATTTTTATGTATGCAAGAACTTTCTACCAAAACACATTTTTAATTTTTTGGGTTTTTTTTACACAATTCACACAATCCACTAATTAAAAAAAAAATGAACATTACTTCTGATATTATTTTGTATTAAAAACGAATGGTTTTTTTGGAAAATTTGTTTCTTACCTGTTGTTACATTTGTCCACACATCTGTCAGGTTTATACACATATTCGTTTCGGTCATAATAAGAGTCATAGACGAGTGTCCTTTCATATAGCAAGAGTCTAAAAAATATAATAATCTTACAAAAATGTTATTTCACTAGCAATTCTAAATAAATTAAATTAAATCCTGTTAGATTTGAAATTCCACCGGGCAATAGCTTTTTTTACCGCGAAAGATTTAAGTAATAATGTGTGAAATTTAAATTTCTTATTAACATTACTTACGGTTTATTGGTCATGTCTTGCCCTGAACAAGAAATTCCATCTACTTTTTCATTTTTTGACCCACATAAATTCCCACATTTGTCGTAACCGTGTATAAATCTGTCCATATTTGAATTACATAGAGCATAGATCATTAGCGATAGCTAGAATTGAAACTATTAAATTAGAATAAAACGAAAATTAAATACATGTATTAAATTAGAACCATTATTAAAAATTATGAATTTTAAACATTACAGATGCGATTTTATTATTTCTGTTGCCAATAAATGACTAGGGGAGTGTGGGGTTATTCCAAGTTTTAGCTATAAAGTCCTACATTAGCTCAAAAAACGAGACTAGGATCTTTCATCCAATTATCTGGCGACAAAAGATTGAATTATTATGCACAGTTATTGACCCACCCACGAAAATCATATTTAGCATGGATTGCTGTGAGGAAAACAACATAATACTGTACCGAAATAAACGGCTATAGGTTTTCTAGTATGTGTGGGTGCTCCAGAACAAGTCTAGAAGCGGTGACGGCGACCTTTCGACTATTTTAAAATCTCATAAGCTGTAATATTTTTGCCAATCTTCAGGGAGATACGTAGATTTTAATGACTTTGCTACACGACTTTTTATTCGATCATATGGTAATTTGTAATAATAAGTAAAGTTACCAAAACAACAACGCTAATTCCAAACAACACAAGAAATGCGACATCGGTGGTTTTTCGTCTTTGAGGAATTTCAAGCAAGATGCAAACTTCAAGAGGAACTTGGCTTCTTCTAAAAGTAGTTACCTAGAAAGGAATGTAATAATTTAGAATTTTTACAATTTGTAAAAAATTATGTGTTTGTAAATTATGCATTTGGTAGAAACGTTTTATGTACACATTCAAAAAAATAATAATAATAATAATAAGGCATTTATTGCTCTACAGATTTTGCCTAATTTAATTACAAAACAAACACTAAAAACATTGCATACCTTATTTGAGCACTGCTACATAACATAGATCGATTTAAACGCACACATAAGTTCACGGACTGACGCCTAATTTGTATTGGTACGAAAGAAACCCATACGCCGCCCCGGTACGACGCCTATGGGTTCTAGTATTTACGGCGATAATGACTCATCGTCGATGACGTCACCCGGGCAGCGTTCGCATAAAGACAAGCCTGGGGCGGGTTACTGGAAGTCTCGATTGCGGCGTTCGCGAAAGGAAGGTCTGGAAGCGGACGTCGCGATGGATTCCAGAAAGACCTCGATTGCGAAACATCGAGAAGGGAATATGGGTTTAAATGGAACGAGGTTATTCAGTTGAGTCTGTCAGCGAAGAGTCCAGTGAACGAATTCAGTTGCGCCGGGATTATTTTGTACATAATCGCTGTGTAGGTAATCAGTCTTGTAAATTCGAGTAATTAAGAAATAAATTGTTGAGTTTAACCACGCCGATTTTAATTCACCGATCAACGTAACAGTATTACACATATGTGAGATACAGAATTGAAATACCTTATATATGGGAGATTTAAAACGCATATTTGTTTTAGATTTGCGTAAATAGAATTTTAAAATTTATCTTAATTTTAACCGAGGAACCAAAATAAGACAAATGACCACAACCAATTTTGTCAGAAATATTAAGTACAGAACTTTTATTAGAGTAGTTTCAGCCGAAACGTGACATTCAGGACTGGAGGATTGTGATTACAACTCGTGTTGGTATAAACACCAATATTCTGAAATATAAAAGCTTAAGAAATTGTCTCTCAACATTTACCAATCTAGTCGTGTAACAAAAGTAACAGGAAACCATATTAAATTACAATATTCCAATCTTGAGGAATAGGAATAGTAGTTTTAAGTTGTCCGCAAATAAAAGCTTTTCACATTCAATTATGTTAAACCCGAAGAAGCTAAGTTTATTTAAAATAATTGCATGATCAATTTTGTCGAACTCCAGTCTATGCATATGATGTGTTAGCGTATATTTCGTCTTGAAATTCCTTTTTGAAAATATTTTTTTTAAGCTTTCTGCATTTAGTTCTCCTACATGATCAGCTAGAGCTTTGGCGTGAGTTCTGACAATATTTTCAACTAAATGCACATTTTATAGCAGAAATATTAACAACCTGCTTTCCAGGCAAGGAAAATGTTTTAACATTGACTCCACAATGAAAATTCCTCCTGTTTTAATTTGTCGAATGACTCATTATCCAAACCTGCACACGGTAAATAATATTTCGAGTGATAACTTTTGATGTAAGCGATATAATTAAAGCTCATACCGAGAAATTGGGCGATAACATTTGCGGCATTTAATAACCTGCCTTAAACAAGATTATGATAAACGAACTAACAAACATCGCGCAACCTGCCTACATCGCCTTCCTAGAGGTGAACACTTGTTTATCGTTCAGTTAGGGACTTCAGCAAAAAAAGTGCAGAAAAATCACAAGTAAAAGCAGAAAAAACCTCTGAGTACGAACAAGTTATAACTACAAAAAATGTTAAAACCTAATAGAACGAACCTAGGTTACCCTACCCATATTACGAACGTCAAAAACAGCTTTTGCATACACTTCCAGCTCGAAATTAGCCAATTAAACTCACAGAAAGCACTAGTATCTAACTTAATTTCAAAAGATGACTCAAAGCGAGAGATGACTTTTGTAATTATGAAAAATAAAAACCCTAAAACTTGAAAACACATATAATTCAATCTTAAATCTAAGTACTCATTCACAATGGGCATAAAGCATAAGAATGTCATAAGCATTAATGCATAAAAATTTATGTTTAGTGCTCTATGCTTGTAAATAAACAATGAGCATATCCTTGTGCTTTATGTCCATTGTGAATGAGCACCTATGCTAGCTCATTGTGAACGAACACAAGCATAGAGCACTAAACATAAATTTTTATGCATTAATGCTTATGACATCCTTATGCTTTATGCCCATTGTGAATGAGCACTAATTTTCAATTGGGTGTGTAATACTGTGTATTATTAAGTTCTATAAGCAACTCATTTTACTTGTAGATGAGAGATTTAGCGGTGACATTGTAATACCACTTCAAAGCATCTAGAATTCTCAAAAAAGCAGACATACCAATCATGAAGTGTTTCTGATGTTACGTTGTCAGTTCACGTCTTTCGGTGTTTATTAAGTACTTATTAGTTGTAAATCAGTTTTTTTTAAATCATTTTTTTAAATCAGTTTTCTGTTATATATCACATCATACTGCGGAATCTATTTGAAATTTTATTTTAATCTACATTTTTAACAACAATATGACTAAATAGTACTAATATTAATGGTATTTAAATGTCTTACGTTTTCTGTTTTTCTTAATGTACGTTGTGTGAGATATTCCAAAAATTCAAACTTTCGTAAGTCAGATGTACAGGCTTTGAACTAATATCACCATTCATAATTTCAGAGAATAATAATCTACAATTTTGCCCCTCATCAATTTAGTAAATCTCTCTGTGTGAGAGCCAATGACCCGGGGGTGCCTGTTTTTACCCCCTCCGCCTTCACGGGCTCGGTCGGGCCACCACCGGCTTTGAAACGGGGAGTTGATCTGTATCCTTCCGATAATAAACACCAAATATTTATCTCGCATTCCGCTGCTCTTATTTAACAATCAAACACAACATACAACTTATTCATATATCAATACAAAATCGTACATGGTCCTTCGAGCCGGATCAGCGGCCGCGAGTGTTATATAATAGTGCAGTGCGCCCTATTTCGACACAAAGTTATTCAAATCGGAAATATTGGTCAACCGTCATACACAGATTTTTCTGTGATTCGTCGTCTACAATTCTGGGGACATCAAGGTAAGCTCCAATTCTTATAATATCGTTGTGCATTTCTTGTACGTAAGATGACGAAAAGCCAGGACCAAACAATCAATAAATTCATAATTCTTCTTGATAAATTAAACACACATGAGATTTTCGTTGATGACGAAACTAATCATTCAAAGGTTGGACAATTAAAGCGTCGCCTACAGGACGTTGAACAATTAAAATCGGAAATGGAAAATATCAGTTTGCACTATGGTGCCAATTCTATAATAATAACTTCAGAAGATGAAAACGAGTCTGATGAACGGGTCGAATATAAGTTTAGGGATGTACTGAATCAAATATTTGAGGTGCTTGGCGTATATGATGATTTGGTGACAAAGGCCTCATCTCAATCATCTAGTAGTTCATCAACCACATCGCATTCAAATCAAAATCTTAACGTAAAATTGCCAACTATTGAATTACCTAAGTTCAATGGGGATTATACCGAATGGGCATCATTTTTTGATACTTTTTCTAGTTTAGTTGGCAGTAATGAGTCATTATCCAACTCTCAAAAATTACATTATTTAAAATCATGCTTGGAAGATGAACCCAAGAAAACTCTGGAGTCGCTAAAGGCCGACAACACAAATTATGCAATTGCGGTTAAATTATTGAAAGACAGATACGAAAACAAGCGCTTCATCATTAACAATCATTTAAAAAATATCTTCAGTTTGCCTTTTGTTAATAAATCGGACTGTAAATCCTTGCGGGACTTTTTAGATACACTAAGTATTAATTTAAATACCCTGAAAGCGTTGGATCGCCCTGTCGATCAATGGAGCGATCTTATCATTTATAGTGAACCAAGAGTTATAAGGTTATATGGCCATCATAAAATCATCCCATTGTGTCGAAGTTAAGTTGTCTACAATAGAAAAGGTTTTAGGGTCGTAAATAACGTGTCCACTGCAACTCGACCGGCTCTGGTGGGTTCGTTCAGGGCCGCCTTACTCTAAATATGAAAATCCACAACTCCACTATTTCTTTACTACCTGCAGCCGCTGAGGGTTCCGAAATAATCACTCGCTTTGAAAGCCGGCCCTGTTAAATAGGAGCAAGAAATGTTTAGAAGATGATTTATTGCCAACCGGTAAGCTTAGTGCGAACCACACAAAGGGGGTATTTATTTGCGGTCAACTACTTTTATGATGGCCATATAACCTTATAGGTCTTGGTTCACTATACATTGTAGTTTCAAAATTGGACCATTTTTCTAGTTCCACATGGGAAGAGTCACTTGAACCCAATAACATTCCGTCCCATACAGATTTAATTTCATTTTTAGAAAGGCGATGCAAAACCTTAGAATCGATAAGCATCCATAAAATTAATAAAGAAACAAAATCTCTCCCTCCTCAAAAATGTAACATTAATACGCCGCTTAGAAAACGTGTGTTCCATACTTCATATTATAAGGCTCAAAGTAACAAAAAGTTAGCTTCATGTTTTATATGCGAAAAAAATCATAATATTTTTAATTGTGCTGATTTTTTAAAGTTAACCCCCCAGGAAAGACTGCAACACATAAAATCATTGAATCGTTGCAGTAATTGTTTTAGACAAAACCATTTTACGAAAGATTGCACTATATTTGGCTGCAAACAGTGCAACAAAAAACATCACACTCTTTTACATATTGATGTAAAGGCTAGTTCCAATGCGATTACTGATCAATTAGTTAATGATATCACGGATCCTGGAGAGGGGACATCTCATTGTAATTTAGCGGTCTCAAACAACATACTTTTATCAACAGCAGTAATATTGGTTAAGGGTCCCACAGGTAAAATAAAAGAATGTCGCGCATTATTAGACATTGGGAGTCAATCTCACTTCATAACGGAAAATTTATGTAAACAGTTAAATTTGAAATTTCAAAATTCAAATGTGTCGATCCTAGGAATAAATAGCCAATCAAGATTGACTAAGTCTGCTGAAGTTGAGATCAGAAGTAGATCAACTGATTTTATTTACAATATTAAATGTTTGGTTATTCCCAAAATTACCGAAAACTTGCCTTCTTATACGTTCGATATAAATACTATCCATTTACCCAATAATTTAGACTTAGCGGATCCGACTTTTAATGTTTCATCTCCCGTGGATATATTAATTGGGGCCGAATTATTTTTAAACCTGCTTACTTCCGGAAATATAAAACTCGGTAAAAATCAGCCTGTTCTACAAAATAGTGTCTTGGGATGGATTATCTCAGGTAAAATTCCGAATTTTAATAATAAACCCTTGCACTGCTACAAAATAAGTTTGGAATCAGCTGTTACCAGGTTTTGGGAAATAGAGAACGTTGAACCCGAGGTAATTGTCCCTTCCATCAATAAACATTCTTCCAAAGACCTTTGCGAAGCCCACTTTTATGACACTACCAGCCGATCTAAAGACGGTCGCTTTGTTGTACGACTTCCGTTTGTCGGGCAAATTCCAAAATTGGGAAATTCCCGTGATGTAGCCATGAAACGGTTGTTGTCTCTTGAACGGAAACTCTCCCGAGACCATAAATTAAGAGCGGGTTATTTGGCCTTTATGCGCGAGTACTTGGAATTAGGTCACATGGAGCCAGTACCTGCCGACGTTTCGAAACATTCTTATTACCTGCCCCATAGTGGGGTCATAAATGAAAATAGTTCTTCAACCAGACTACGCGTTGTTTTTGACGGATCGGCAAAAAGCTCAAACAATCTTAGTTTAAACGACAATTTATTAGCAGGACCCGTTTTGCAGCCTGATCTTCTTACGATCATTATTCAATTTAGACTGCCTCAATTCGTAATAACTGCGGACATATCCAAGATGTACAGGTGCATTTGGGTGCATCCTGATGACCGTGTATTTCAACAAATCTTATGGCGAGAATCTCCCGATTTACCCGTAAATACATACCAACTTAAAACCATCACTTACGGCCTGACTTCCTCTTCTTACCAAGCCATTAAATGTCTACAACAATTGGGCGCAGATCTAAAGGATAATTATCCATTAGCACACGACGTCATCATGAAGTGTTTTTATGTGGACGACATATTGTTTGGCGCAAATACCATACCCGAATTAGCGCGGATTAAGGACGAATTAAAGACAGTTCTCGGGAAGGGGGGATTTTCTCTAAGTAAGTGGTCATCTAATTGTGCTGATGTGTTAAAAGATGAGCTTACTTCCAATGAGTGCATAATAACGGACAAACAGCTTGAAAAGAAAACTCTGGGTATTCGCTGGGACAACGAATCTGATAATCTTTCATACACACATTTTAACTTTGTTAACGTCAAGCCCACCAAACGTACTATACTTAGCGCCATTGCTCAATTATTCGACCCCCTCGGTTTAGTTAATCCTGTGGTAACAATGGCAAAAATAATAATGCAACGGTTGTGGTCGTTGAAAATTAACTGGGATGACGAAATTCCCGATAATCTTAAAAAAGCATGGACTTCCTTCTTACGCGGCTTGCCTTATCTAAATAAACTTCAGTTTCCTAGAACAGTAATTTGTCGTGATGCTATCAAAATAGAAATCCATGGATTCTGCGATAGTTCTGAACAGGCTTACGGTGCAGCAATCTTTGTTAGGTCCATTGATTCCCAATTAAATATACACGTCAATTTGTTATGCGCCAAATCTCGCGTGGCGCCATTAAAAACCATCTCTTTGCCCAGACTTGAATTATGTGGTGCGCTTTTGTTAGCCCACTTGCTTGTAAAGGTCACTAAAACGATTAACATTTTACCTGAGCAGTGTTTCTGTTGGACGGATTCTCAGATCGTTTTATCGTGGTTAGCAGCTGATCCAGGTAATTGGAAAACCTTTGTCGCTAATCGCGTTTCTGAAATACAGCAGTTAACTAATAATTGTCACTGGAACCATGTGAAAAGCAGCGAGAACCCGGCCGACATAATAACTCGTGGTGCCTCTCCTAGGGAATTATCGACAAATACACTGTGGTTTAATGGTCCAGCTTGGCTGCATAAAATGGAAATTCCGATTGTTAATGCCTCTAATGTAGACAAGTGCGACTCCTCTGGCGAAGGTTTACTGTTAGAAAAACGCTTTGTTTCAACTGCAGTGCATCTACAAACCAATTCTTTTAAAAATGTTATCTTTGACCTATACTCAACCTTTGGCAAATTAAAAGTTGCAATTGCGTGTTGGCTGCGCGTTATGAAAAACCTACGGAATAGAGCCAAAAAACAACCGGAAATCAGGGGCAGTTTAACAACGCAAGAATTGAAACATTCGGAAATTACGATAATCCGATTAGTTCAAAAGGAGGCATTCTCCTCCGAAATTCATCAGTTGTCTCACAGTAAAAAACTTGGTAACAGTAGTATTTTACAACTTAATCCGTTTCTAGATGCTAATGATTTGCTCAGGGTGGGGGGTAGACTAAGCAATGTCAAAACTTTACCAATTGATAAAAAATTTCCCATCTTGTTGCCCAAACATTACATAACCGAATTAATAATACAAGATATACACCAAAGCCTACTACATGCGGGGCAATTAGGTACTCTTGCGCAAATGCGCTTAAAATATTGGCCGATTTCTGGCAGGCGTCAAGTTCGCAAGGTAATTGGTAAATGCTTAAAATGTTATAGGACCAATCCAAAACCTTACAGTCAAATTATGGGAAATCTTCCCGAAGAGCGGATAATGCCCTCACGTCCCTTTTCCAAGGTGGGGGTTGATTTCGGTGGTCCTTTATTAATTAAAGAAGGCCGCGGAAAAAGGAAAAGAACCACTAAGTCCTATATTTGCCTTTTTATTTGTTTAAGTACAAAGGCAGTACATCTCGAACTGGTAGGCGACCTGACATCCGACTCATTTCTTAGTGCCCTGAAACGATTAATTTCGCGCCGCGGAAATGTCTCTTTCGTTCTTAGTGACAATGCCACTAACTTTGTAGGCGCGAGAAAAGAGCTTCAACAATTATTTAAAAGCGAGATTTTTAAAAATAAACTGGCAAACGAAAATATCATGTGGAAATTTATTCCTCCTCGAGCCCCAAACTTTGGTGGTATCTGGGAGGCTGGTATTAAATCAGTGAAAAATCACATTAAGCGCGTAATCGGCGAAAATCACCTTACGTATGAGGAGATGTACACGCTGTTGGTCAGAATTGAAGCGGTACTAAACTCACGCCCCTTGACGCCATTATCGAACGATCCGAATGATCTCTCGGCCCTTACGCCTGGCCATTTTTTAATCGGGCATCCGCTAACCGCCCCCGTAGAAAAGGATCACACCGCCATTTCGTCCAATAGGCTGTCTCGCTGGCAGCTGATTGAGGCCTGCCGCCAGCATTTCTGGAGACGTTGGTCAAAGGAGTATTTGACTACGATGCAGAGCAGGGCCAAGTGGCAGCACACATCCGCCAAAGTTCCGGAAGTTGGTACATTGGTGATACTAAAGGACGACAATCTACCGCCGTTACAGTGGCCGCTGGGGCGTATTACTCAATTACATCCTGGAAACGACGGCCTGGTGCGTGTAGTGTCAGTGCGGCATAAAGGTGGTGTAGTTAAACGTGCAATTACGAAAGTGTGTGCGTTGCCAATTGATTAATATTAATCAATCCATGATCTATATTCCAGAAATCTGGACATTCCTATTCATTTCTACTTGTGTCTATAATTTGCTTGCTTTTTTGCACTTTTGTTTATCTGTATGATCTGTGTAAAATATTATATGCATATATTCTGTATTTCGAAACACTTCTATTGTTTCAAGGTGGGGGGTTATGTGAGAGCCAATGACCCGGGGGTGCCTGTTTTTACCCCCTCCGCCTTCACGGGCTCGGTCGGGCCACCACCGGCTTTGAAACGGGGAGTTGATCTGTATCCTTCCGATAATAAACACCAAATATTTATCTCGCATTCCGCTGCTCTTATTTAACAATCAAACACAACATACAACTTATTCATATATCAATACAAAATCGTACACTCTGAAAACTAAAATACTTTTTATATAAATAAAATACGAACTTTTTTTTTTCAAAACATTCATGAAGAAAAATAATAATTGTATTGTATGATACATGATGTTACATATTATCTTGTATATAACTTACACATTCTTAACTAATCCGATTCTAAAGGCACAACAGGCAGAGTTTGAGCATTTAGTCTTCAGTAAACAACAACACAAATTTTGTGTCTATTTTAATTTTTATTAAAATAATTCTGGTTAAATACGTCTGTCACATACACTGTAACATAAAAGGAGTTCGTTCCTTCGGAGGCACTATTTTTTAACAATTAACAACAGCTTAAGAATATTGAAAAGTAAGAAAACGACGTTTAACTAAAGAAGCCAAAGAGGCATCCGTTTCCGGGTAGTTAAGTCGTGCAAAACTAGGTAAGTAAGTAGGTACGTAGTTTCTTAAAAAAAAAATATGTGTTGTAAAAAAAACGGTAGGGTACGGACGGGCAATGTGGATAGGTCGGGCAAAAAGAAGAATTCGTCCTGTTTAGTAAATAGATTGTCGGAAATGAAAATACGTTTAACTGGAGGTTTTGAAAAATTTGAAGTAAATTTAAATCCTATAATATACCTAATCATATTATATTCATAATAATTATTTAATATTTATATAACTCACTTCTTCTACAACAATAGGTTTTGTGGAACTAGCCATATTAATTATTATTAAGACAACACTATAACAACCCACAACAGATTGTGTTAAACACTTTTTTCACTAACAAATTAGATAATGTCTAGTTAAGGGTGAAGTTTCGTTTAAAAGTAGGGATATTCGCATCATCCTATTTATACTTATCACCATGTTTGAAATATAAAATTTTGTAATTGCTTAATTACACTAAGCTAGCTTATCGAGATGGATTTATATTTGAAAGTTGCGTATCTTATCAAGGATGCCGCTAGTTAACTCTGCGTATTAGCCATCTGGATGCATATAAAAACAGTATTTTGATGTTATTTCATGCAGTACTGCATTTTTAAGGTAGATATTTGATGAGCAAAACATTTCAAAGAATACCTCAATTATCTAGTTTTTTTTGCACTATTATGGGTTGCGATGCCAGGAGTGAGTTCGAATTTCATTCTCATCCTCGTTACATCTTTTTTTGATCAAATCAAGAACAGTTCACCCCATTTGTTCGAAAATTACAGTAATGTCACACTGCAAATAATTTTTCTTATAATAACTGTTCCTCACCCATAATAAGTTTTGCTGGATTAATCAGTCAACTCCTCTGGTTTAAGGAGACAAAATCAATCAAGTTTGATTTTCTTTTATGCGATCGCTGACACTTGTACGTGATTATAGTCGAAGTATAAACATAAATACTCGAAGTTAACCATGTAATTACTAAGAGTTCATTTTCCCTTTAGTGATCTGGTTTAAATATATTTTCTATCAATCCCACTTGTGGGTACCTTGCAATTTGTGTCCCTATGGCGCGGAGGCTGCAGGGGATGTTATTTACGCGTTATTTTACTTTATAGAGCTTATCATAAATAAAAAATCGCAAAATCAAATTTCATAATCTTTCAAAGAGTCGAGATTTGTAAGTTCTGCCGAAATAAACTTCCTCAGGGGGTTATGATTATGAAACATCGGTAAAACATGAAAGTAGCCAAATGGATTCTATTACAATAGGTACTTCTCTAATTTGCACTCCGAAAATCAACATACAGCTTTGTTTGTATGTATAAGTTAAACGGAACCCTCTATATGTATGTTTGAAAATACTTTTAGGTCGGTTGAATTGCGTTGAAGAAATTTTTTTGTAGTCTAGAGCGAATGTTTAATTTTCCACCCTTCGACCGTTGGTACATACACCACGTATGAATCTATTTTACATAAGTATTTTGGCAAGAACGATGAAATTTGAATTCTGTGTTGTGTCATTAACTGCCGACAAATAAAATATTTTCGAAAGACATATTTAATCAAGTTTTCTAATTTGTTTTTGGCGAAACATTCATAATTTTTTATTTATCCACACATCAGCGCGAAATTATGTTCTGCTAATGAATAATGTTGCAGTATTTTAATTAAGATTCATTTAGTGTGCGATGCGTCGATAAATAAAAACTCTGCAAAAATGTCTGCTATCGTATCGGCCAGAATTTTTTGTTCATTTTCCGCGTTACGCGAGCAAAGGAGTTCTGTCGGTTTTGACTTTATTGAGGGCGGCATATACGGTGTGTAAATTAGTTTGTTTAAGTGGTTTATTTTTATTAAAAATAATTGGGTTTCGGGCTTAAAGTGAAAGATAAGTGTTGTGGTTGTGATGTACCCATGGAGGAAGAAGTTTGTAAGAATCGGAGCGGAAGAAAAGGAAATCAGGATTTAAAGGGTAAGTGTTGCTATTAGGCTTTATATATCGGTCTATTATTCAATGTATTGTGCCGTATTTCTTTAGTTGTTTTATTCTAAATTGATGTAAAAATACGGATGTTAAGCGAGAAGTAGCTTTATTGTTCAAATCGTTACTTACGACTTAATAAATTTGATTGTTTCAACAAAAACTCAGATATTTATTCTTTAAAACTGGCCTTTTCAGCTGGAATATCTAATAGGCTTTAATCAGTGTTAATTATTTAAAAATTAAATTCAAGTTTGATTTTTGTCTCATTACTGACCGTCTTTACGTTTTAGTAATATTATTTATTGCCATTATCGTTATTGTTTTGTGAAACATTTAAGTTTCAGAATTGTTTTGAAAACATTTTTGCACTTGGGACAAATTTAACTACAACTAAAAGAAGTTCACTATAAATCAGCAAAACGTTTCAGACAATCATTTTAATTGAAAACAGTCAGTAATCTTCAGTATTTAAGTTTATTGGGAAGTGTTTCCTGAAATTTCGGTTAAATTAGATATACTTTTTTAGACTTTTTTAGAATATTCTTAATTTCCAAACATACTGTAGCAGGGTTGTGTTTATTAAACTTTCATTTCTGTTTATTAGCGAATTTTTAGGCAAATATTCTCCGAAACACTTTTTTGGGTGTATTTTATTTTTGTTGTATAATTTTTTTTCTGTTCATCTTCACCGAGAATGGCGTGTTGTAACTGTAAAATTTTGCATAGAATTTATATTGTGATTTCAAAACTTTTTCTAATTATTATTTTTTAAATCTTATCTATTTATTAAACCTGTGTAATGTTGAATTTCACCGTCACTAAAAATTAGTATCTACAAAGTTGATGTTAATTTCTATGATAGTTTTCTTCGTGTACACAAAAATTTCATGTGTTTTTTGTTTCAATGGGTTCGTAATAAATGAAGATGAGGGGATTCGCTAAATTGTAGCAGATGAAGAAGCCTAAAGGTTAGAATTTTGCATTCATTTTAAATTGGGTATTGTTTTCTTTATATTTTTTATCTTTTATGAAGGCTATTTTGACCGGTAATATTGTCTTATTTTTGGGTACCAATTGTTTTCACGTCTTGCTACATATTTTGTTAGTATTTAATTTAATTTTTTAGGGACTCTTATGTGCATATGTTCAAACGATTTTTTTCTTTCGATTTTTCGTGCAGGAAAAAAAACGTTTTTTACATTTTTTTTCCAAGAATATTTAAATTATAGATTATAAATTGTTGATAAGCCGTTTCATGTAGTGTTTGATTCTGTCCACAATCTATTTTAAACATACTACATAGTACATAAGTATATGTAAAATAAGGGTCGGCGGTTTTTTAACCGGCCGACGAAAGGACCGGCCGGTCAAATTGCCCGTAGGGTGCATGAGTCCTTTGCTGCGTGTCAACAATACAACCTCATTTTAATCTCTATTTTTAAAATTTCGGTGTTCTAAGTGATCAATTTCTTTTCATATACATATACAAAAATTGATAACTGCATAATGACAGGCAACAACTTGCAACACTTGCGTGTAATAAAAGATGCAACTTTAGACACAATATACTATTAACTGTCTCCCAAATTATGTAAAGACGGCTAGCTAAGTATATATCAGTTGTGTTGTTCAAAAAAAAACAGTTAAGATACACCTGATATACAAAATGTTATACTCGTATTTACAATGTTGAAGATTTTATTAAATACGTCACCAAGTTGTCTCGAGAAAGATATATGATGATAAAAATTAATAATAATAATAATAATAACAGCTGATCTACATAGCAGTCACGAAGTTTGACGGTCATTTCTTCGTGAAACTTTTTTTTAATTTCAAAATAATATCCGATAGCAATGTCTGCAGTTATTACATTATATGATGTATTTCTAATAGAAACTCTGTCACGCCTAAAATTTTAAATTTTGTATTTCCTGTAGTTAGTAATGACAATAACGATAATACATTTGGCGAAACAATCTAATCACTATCAACCTCGCCCACTTTTCTGACAAATAACACTGATATAAATTATAAAATTTATTATCTTTCCTGCAGATTTTAATCTACACTTTCCCAATCGTAATGATTGATCAGTGATCACGTTTGTTTTTATTTCTCGAGCGTAAGCCCAGGAAGTATAATATGTATAGTAATAGAGTCTATCGGGCGAATAGCCAGTTACATAGTTTCTCGACATTTCATGACCCCTAGAGCGTCTATGTCGATTTTTATTAGACACGTAATCTCCGAAACTACTGGACTAATTGTTGTCAAATTTTGTATGTTTTTAGGAATATTATGCAGATGGTTATGTCAAATGCTAGCCAAATTTTTGCTAATCATTGACACCAACACTGTGATGGCGTGACCTTGAAATTGTATGTAGTAAAAGGGTTTTAAATTTATAAATTTAAAATAACTTATTGCGACACGTGCAATTTATGAATTTGTATTGAGTTTTTCCCAGGAAAAAATCACAATTGTATAACAACATTCTGCACTTTAATTTTGAATCCGCAAAACCGAATGGTTTGAAATCTTGCAGACGTTTTAAAGTTGTCGTAAGCATGGTAAAATTTTAATCAAAATATATTTGATGACGTCATCTTAAAATTTTGCCAAATAAATCCTATTTAAATTGTGCAAAATATGATGAGAATATAAGACTGTTGTTATTAGTATTACACACTACATCTATCGAAATTGATGTGTCCTTGCTAAAAAATAGTGATGACGTCATCACAAAATTTTGTAACCAAGAAAGTCCTCTGAAACATACGCGTAGCGCGCTTCTTTCCATTTACTTCAACATTACATACATATCTTTATTATTTTAACTTATAGAGGTTCTCATAACAATAAAATTCGCAGAATCAAATTCTCTAATTTTTCGAAAAAGTTGGATAGGTTTTATTGTATTACAGGTGCAAGAAAAATCCTATCGAAATAACCTTCGACCGACTTGTTTATGCTTAATGCGATGATCACTATTTTCCACAATAAGTTTTGGATTGTTAATTGCAAGTAAGTCGCATTTTATCTAGCATCTATTATCCGTTCACGATCTTTATATAGTAGGGTTGGCCATGAAAATCTACTGAGTTTGTTGGTAGTCGATGCAGAAGAATAAAAATTCCCTGAACTTTTTTCGTTAGGTTATATTTTATTAAATTAAAGGTTAAAAAATATGCCAGAAATATAAACACTGTTGCCGATACTTTCAGTTTTCAGTATAGCAATGACCAAGTTAACGGTATCCATTTCTTAGAAAGCATAAAACTTTAGGCTATTTAAAACAGTTATTCGGCTTTTTGTAAGTGTTTATTTCATATGTAAGGAACAAACACTAAAATTGCACTTAAACATTGTTTTTATATGAATGGGGGTTCTACGTACGACTATTGTCGCATGCCACATTTAGCATCTCATCTTTAATTCTCAATCATCAGTTCGTTCTGCTCGCCCACTCTTCTTAGAAATGGAAATTTCGACCTTCGTGAACAGCCTATTTCCATATCTTCCAACTTCTTTTTTCACTTTTCTAAGATTACTAAAAGGGTTGGTAAAAGACAACAACCTTGCTCTAGTGCTTTGATGGGTTTAGCTCTTCTAAAACATTTTTCCGGACTTAAATTGAATGATTTATCTATATAGCTATTACTAATGCTTACTATACGCCTTCTCCAGGTCCATGAAGAGCTACAAAAAAAAAAAAAATGAAAATGCTTAAAATTTGGTGCAAAGTAACAACGTGGATGATCTAACTAAAATTATACTTATTTTGTTGTACGTCAGGTAGTTTTTCACATACTACCTTGGTAAATTTAGAACGAAAGATGCGTAAAAATATCACCCCCCGACAAGCTACAATTCACTCCATTTCCATTATTTCGCTATGACAATCTGTATCATCACCGTCATTTTCTTATTTGGATTCTGAATCAGATTCACCTAGCGAAATAATGAAAGGAGGTATAGACGCGTACGAAAGATTTCCCATATTTTTTTCCCAATCTGCCAAAATAAGTTTTTCACAATGTTTACAAAAATTTTGCCACATGCTTGGAGTACATTTAGAAATCGCCTCAAACCATAAATTCTCCACCCTATTTTTTAATGAAGGTTGAGAATTTATGTTCTTGTTGTAATAGTTCTTACAAAATCCCCACGCCATTTCAATTGGATTATATTGACAATGGTACGGAGGTAATCTAAGAACTTCATGGCCACTTTCTCTGAATGTCTCGTCTACCAAATATCTTTTTTTTTTCTATTGTTTCTGAAGGGTTTGATTAAATCCCAGAACTGTTTCTTCGAAAATTTTTTGTCAGATTCAACACTATGTTTAAAGAGCCATTCCTGCATTTCACATTTTTTACTAGAAAAAGTGGGTGGTTTATCTAACTGAACCGAATGATACGGTGCATTGTCTAAAACCACCACACATTTTTGGTTCAACTTTGCCAAAGCAGGAATGAGCTGATTAACCACCCAATTTTGAAAAGTTGTCCCGTCCATCGTTTTATTATGATAGTCTCTATCGTTATTTTTTTAATTTAAAAAAATGTTACAACCATCCAAGAACCGCGTTGAACAACCCGCGTGGAGAATAGTAAACCTTGATCGTTCACTTTTAATTTTGGTAGGATTGCTTTTTAGATCAGTATCGTGCACCCAGCGACGAATGGACGACCCATTTTGATAGATCCATGTTTCATCCAAATACACGAAAGTCAAATTTTCACAAGAATTTAGAAACTGTAAATATGTTCTCAAAAAAGTAATTTTGGCTGCAACGACATGTTTTTGTTCACATAGAATTTTGCGACCATTACTTCCCTATGTTTATAACCCATTGACTTAAGAATTTTGTATAATGTGGTTCGCCCCCCTTTAAATTCCAACTGTTCCCTAGAATATGCCAAAAGAGTATCTACAGTGAAATATTCGTTTTTTTTCATGAAGTTGCCAAATTTGTTGTTGCAGGTCTTTCCGAAACATATAATTTGTAAATAAATCCGTTAGTTTTCGCTTGCCAGATAGTGGTGTTTTTAAATTCTCTTTTTAAATTTTTAAATAATGTCGCAATGATCTGTGAATCTGTCACAATGATAAATTATCTATGCTGACAAAATTAAAACATTTGTTTGTTTGATTAAAAAATTGGGTCTAATAATTCTGATCTAATAAATGAAGTAGAAAAGTGGCAATCCAGCTCAAAGCAAATGTCAATCAGACTACTGACAGACAAAAAACTAAATCATCAAATCAGTTTATCCAACTTAAAGAAAAAAATATCAGAGCCTACTTTACTATATAATGATCGCGAATGGATAATACTTCCAACCAGCCCCGTAGCTACGGGGGGGCAAGATGGGGCTGAGCCCCCCCTAGCAGTTGTGGTTGCCCCCCCTGGAAGACTTACACATTATAAATTTCAAATTAGTTAGTACTAAAATTTCAATATGTATAATGCCGATTGTCTAAGCAACTTTACTAGCCCCACCCGCCCGCCCTTTATTTTCTTACAGAGTATGTTATTTGGCAATATCCCCCTAACGTTGATGTTGACCGTATAAAAAAAATGAACTGTCAGGTCACATTTTATTCCATAGCCTACTACTAAACATGCAAAAAAATAAACTCAAACAAATTGATTGTTACTTATTAGTGTTATTGGCCACTGTACGAATTTTTGAATGCAGTACAGCTGTTTGTGAATCTACATTCTCTGTTTTAACCAGAATAGATCAATTTAATAGCGTAAAAATCGACATTTACAATTATTTTAATGCTCTTTCAAATGTAAAAAAGTAGTTATCTGAGTGTATTATTAAAATATATATACATATTTACATGAAGCCCCCTCTGTCGACAAACTTGCCCCCCCTGAATAAGTTTTCTAGCTACGGGGCTGCTTCCAACTTGTGTCACCGTACTTAGTGTTTAAGTCCTTCCGGAGTCTGTGGAGGACGGGGTAAATTGCGTACCCTCCTGTCTTTCATGTCCCATAGATTTTCGATTGGGGATAGGTCAGGAGACCTTGAAGAGAGAAGATTGACTTCAGCTTCTTCAAAACGATCGACAGTAACTCTAGCAATACGTGTTTAGGGTATTGTCTTGTTGAAAAGTAGGATTTTGTAGGATGTGAAGCTATGAAAGAATATATTATCCATGATGTACCTCAGGGCGTTCTTGGTTCGAGCAGTATGCAAAATGAGGCATCTATCAACTATGTTGTACTGGTGTGTTCAACAATTAACCATTAGGGGACTAGTTCGAAAATCACGGCACAATAGAACGGCTGAATGTAATTATCAAGTCACTGAATTTAAATTTACACTGTATATTCATTGACATAGGAATTTTCTAAAGAGTGAATGAAAAGAAAAATATTTATTAGACATATTTATTAAAAACATAATAAATGAGTTTCATTTAATTAAAGCACATTAAATTTGATGAAGGTACCTAAACGTGTAGGTATGTTATCCTACTTTTTGGCCTTTTTCCTAAAATTTAATGTTTAAAAATAAGAAGAATGTCTGATTCGTAGAAGTTACTTACTTCTGTTTTGCGTTTTCGAGAGCTAAAGTAAGTGCTTGTGCTTTCTTAATTTGATTGTGAAGTTCTATTGTTGTATAATACGCGTTCACATTACCATCATTTAAGCACTGATCTTCACAATAACAAAGAAAAATGGTATCAACAGCAATCTGAAATACATAAATGTGTAGGTATAATATCGTACTATTGTTAAATGTAGAACTATACAGGATATTAGTTTAATATAGCTCATAAAAGTAAATTTCACTCTTCTCTAATCTGTACCTACATGTACACTATTCTGCTTACCTCAAAAACCACAAAAAAACTGTGAACGCAGATCCAAGCAACTAAGCCTCCAAATACGATAGTAACTACCGACAACTAAATGACAAAATTGGTTATTGATAACAATTTAGCGTAGGTAAAATAACTTACGTTCATTAATATACCAATGACGACAGTTATCACAACCACTACTAGTTTAGCCATAAAAAACACAAAATTTCCAATCGAATTCATCGCTATGGCACTTAATAAGTTTGAAATGATCAGATTAATGGCACGAATACTTGATCGGCAAAGCGGCTGTCCATGAATAGCTGAAAATATGAGAACTCTTTAAATAATGAGCTTGTTTTTTTGTAGTTGTTTTTCCTACTTGTAATTTTTATTGTCTAACAAATTTATAGGTAGATTTTTTAGAATTCTAAAAGTAAAATTTTTTTTCTTACCAGTTTCGATGTACCCCATTGAGGTCATATATTTTAGTAAGTCTTCTAAAGGTTTAAAGCAGATATATAAAAGACGCAAGCAGCCATTCTGACTTGCCAGTCCTCTGATTATGGTTTTCAGCACAGTAATTATTGTTATAAGAAGTGAACCAAATGCCACTGTACCAAGATGGTAACGAATTAAATTGTAGAAGCTGTTGTAAATTGGAGACACGACTATTACTTTGTCTCTGAAATTAAAACGAGTTGAATAATAATAATAAAATAATGAATATAAATTGTTTACCTGGCAAAGTAGTAAGTAGCTACAGCACCTGATATAACCATTTGCTGACATGCTAAATTGAACAGAAGCGTCCATATCATCATAATTACACTCCAACACAAAACAAAAATCGTAGCACCATTAAGAATATATTCGTATCTGTCATAGTTTAATGGATCTTTTTGTAGACTACCCGAAGTTGCCATTAATAAAAATGTGTATACGAATATTGCCATAACTAGAAAATTTGAAAGAAAAGTCTGAAATGGGCACGTTAATATTAGTATTATTAGTGATATCAATACATACTAAGGCAGGTTCTAACAAGAGTAAAGGCATTGCAAATACAATCCGGGCAGCTTCTTCGAAAAAAAATATTACTAACTTGATTCTAGCGATGAGTACCAAAATACATAACGCGAAGACAATTCCTACTATTGTAAAAATTATACCAACATATAACAAAGAAGAACTCGCTTCACCAGTAGCGTCGCTGTATAGATACCTAAATACGAGAGAAGGTCAAAAAAGAATTAAAAGACAAAAACTGTCTTACCAAATGCCGCCAGTAATTGCAAACCATAATAGTATAATACCAATTAACATAGTCCAAACGAATTGTTTGACAAAATAGCGGAATAACAGTAAAGCCACAATTGATAAACCTAAAACATGAATATGAATATCATCATTTGTCGCATAACCATATGGGTTTAAGTAGGTATTTAAACGTTGTTTACCTAATCCAATCAAACATAAGCCTGCCAGACTATCCGATTCTTTTTGAACTGCATCGACCATATCCTATAACATTTTCTTAATTTAGAAATTATTACACTTATATATTCAATTTCTTACAGGAAAGAATTCTATGTCGCCTCCTTCCGGAAAACATCGATGAAATCTTGTTTCGTAACTGAAAAATATGCAAGCGTATAATTTTCTGAACTTTATTTTCCCAGAATTTTTGAAAAAAAAGTTAATGACACCCTAATATAAAATATAGCCTATGTTTAGAATGTGTGAACAAAATATAGTCCGATTGAAAATCATTTTGATGTGTTCAAGCTATTAGCTTGAAAATCTTTATTAAATAAATACCTTGACGTCACTTCTGATATTATTTTGACTTAAAAACTAAGTTTTTTGAAGTTTTGTTTCTTACCTGCTGTTACATTTGTCGACACATATATTAGGTGTATATACATATTCATAGAGGCCATAATAAGAGTCATAGATCATAGTCCTTTCATATGTCAAGAATCTAAAAAAAAAAATAGTATCCCAACAATATTTTATTATTTCACTTGCAAACGTAACTAAAATACCCAGAGTTGTTAAAATTACTTACGGTTTATTGGACATGTCTTGACCTGAACAATAAATATCATCTACTTTTTCATTTTTTGAGCCACATACATTGCCACATTTGTCGTAGCCATGTATAAATCTGTCCATATTCGAATTACATAAAGCATAGATCATTAACGACAGCTGGAATTGAAATTATTAAATTGTAATAAAATTAAAATTAAAAGTAATATTAAATTAGAATAATTATTAAGAATAAATCATTTTAAACATTCATTTATTTAGTGCTTTGGTGATTTTGTAGGCAATTTTTGATTTCCCCATACTTTATTTCGAGGTCGTGGCCATGGTACAAGGAGACATGGTATAGGCATCCGATGTACCAATTTAAAAATGGCCTGCGCATCCATTTGTGACGTTAGGTGGCATCAACGACCTTGTGATTCTTGTGAGCTTCGCTAGAGAAGTCTAGGGAATTTCAGCTTGAGTTGTCATTGCTCTGTCCAATACGTCAATTAGTTGTCGGATAACGAATTGTATTTTAAATTTCGCGCTAATTTCACCCCACTTGACGTCACACCCGATGCGTATGCCTATACCATGTCTCCTTCTACCATGGTCGTGGCAACCCATAAAGCAATTTTCATAATAAAAATTATCAACGTAAACGCCCGGCCTTGAAATCTTGCAACTCAAGACACGCACGCCTATGTCCGCATCTCATCACCCAGTTTCCGTGAATTATTGTAAATATTTTTTGACTCATCAAAACTGTATTGATCTAAGTTTGTTCAAGAAAACAAATTAATCCCCAGTTTAACTTATGTTTCAAAAATTCCATAATCCAGAACATTGTTAAGTTAATCTTCAGGGATAAGTACTTATATGTAATTTTAGAAATGATAAAAAAATATTTAAACTTGAACATCTTAAACACTGTGAACACGTCGTGTCGTGTCAAATTATATTATAACTTATTTTTCCTAGTTCTATTTTTAAACTCGATTTTTCTTTTAATTTCAGTAGATAAACTTGACAAATTGTCGATCAAGCACAATGCAAGAAATAAAGAATAAGAAATATCTTTTGCTGGTTCAGTATTGTGGATTGTTACATCCAATTTTACGTACTGAAAATTTGTATTTCTTGTATATATCTTATCGCTTATTTCTTATATTTCTTGCATGGTCTTTGAGCCTTTAATCTTTCTCAAGATCTTAACTTTTTGTAGAGATAGGAACAACACACAAAAGTAAGTAATTTGTAATAGTAAGTAAAGTTACCAAAACAACAACACAAATTCCAAACGACACAAGAAATGCCGCATCAGTGCTTTTTCGTTTTTGAGGGATTTCAGGCAAGGTGCAAACTTCAAGAGGAACTTGGCTTCTTCGAAATGTAGATATCTAGAAAGGAATGATACAACTTAGAATTTATTTATATAATTTGTAAACAATTATTATTTATAAATTCTATAGCAAAAAACGTTTTATCAACGTATCCAGTAAAATTTTGCACTCTTGAAAAGTTAAAAACCTAAACTCGAAAACAGATACCTTACTTCAATTTAAGTCTTGTTGTATACCTGGCGTTCAACTGGCTGTGGTTTATAAGCAGTTCATTTTACTTGTATCTATATGAGAGATTCTGAAGAGATTAAAGCATCTACAGTTCGTAAAAAAATCGGCAGACGAATTATGAAAAATGTCTGATGTTTCTATGTCATTCTACATACATCTTTCGGTGTTTATTTATTAAATATGTATTAGTTGTATATTGGTTTTTCTTTAATATCCATATATTGTTAAGTCAAAGTTTTCTGATATTTATCACATCATAATGGGGAATCTATTGGAAATTTTATTTTAATATACTTTTTTAACAACAATGTGACTAAACAATATTGATTTTAAAAATACGTAAATATTTAAATGTTATATGTCTGTCGCTAGTGGAATGTAAAGATTAAGAAAACGACCTTTAACTATGAGGTAAAGAAAAATATGGCATCAAAATGTATTCAACTAATTAATTTTTTTGTGACTGGGACGTGTCAATTTCCGAGTAGTCACGTTCTGCATAAACTACACAAGTAAACTAAGTAACTTCTTAAAAAAAATAATAATATCGTGTTGTAGACAAAAACGACAGTTTGAATTATTGTCAGTAGTGAAAGTAGGTGGAACTGGAGGTTTTGGATATGTTGAAGTGTAATTTAAAAGCTTATGAACCACAATAACAATATTAAATAAATATTCATAACAATTATTTAATGCTTATATAACTCACTTTTTCTACAACAATAGGTTTTGTAGGACTAGCCATAGTAATTATTATAAATACTACACTATAACAGCACTCAATAGATTCTGCACTTCTTCTTGCACTAACAAATATGATATGTGCAATTCAGGGTGAAGTTTCGTTTAAAAGCCCGTACATACACTTATCTACTCACATCATGCTATTCATACAGACTTATCACAATGCTTGAAGTGAAAATTCCTGTAACTGTTATATTAATCTCAGTTGTATTATCGAAATTGATTTTCGTTTGTAACTTCCTTATCTTATCCAGGATGTCACTACTTAACTCTACGTATTATGCATCTAGGTGCGTATGAAAACAACATCTTGACATTATTTCATGCCGTCAGTGAAAACTTACGTGGTTTCATTTCTGACGCAGATATTTGACGAGGCAAACATTTCTATGAACACCTCAATTATCTTTGTACAATATTATCGCCAACATTTCTGAGAATTATGTACCTTCCGTTAAAAAGTTTTTTTTTATTAAACTTAAACTAAAAGTACCGCCAAGTACATTGTCAGTCGAGGAATGTTTAATGCAACCATGACTTCTAATTTACAACCAAAAAAATGGTCTCTAATCTAGATTCTGTATTTCTGGATTTCTAATGTTATGGGGGCTGACCATAGCCAGCCGGCACTTAGCGTCGGCTTTTGGGCCCATTGAACCTTCCTCAAGTCCATATCAGGATACTTATGCGCATCTTTCAAGTGAGGTTTTTCATAACCCACGAGTATACAAGTATGTAATTCTATAAAAATAATTTTACAAAATGTGGAGATGACATCATCAAACTGTGGGTGGGAATGATCAGATAATAAATTTTTTGATTAGAGTTTTACCATACATAATATTCATAAAATATATCTAAAACTTCACAACAATCGGTCTAGTTGTTTCGTAGATTATTTGCTTATTAATATAGCGAACAGATTATAGAAGGCATAAAAATGAAATGTCCAGAAAACATGAAATTGGTCGTTCGCCGGATGAACCCTCTTATGTTACGACACTTTACCTAATTAGCTTAGGTATGTAAAAATATGAACGTGGCGATAAGCAATAATTTTTACAAATTTGAGATAAGATTAATCATTTTTTCGAAAAATGAGACTGTTTTTGAGTTGAGATAATACCGTCTCTCAGACTTATATCGTAGCAATGGCTAAAAATGCACTCAATATAGACTTAAACAATGCTATAAGTCTCAACTTGAATCGAATAAAACCAAACAGCCCCTTCTCCTGTGACCCATTCCTAATCACTTTCCTCTAAGGTGTCAAATAAAAACGTAGATCCAAATTATGTTGTGTCCCGAATTTGAAATTTTTCGAGCTAATAAAAAACACCACGAAACCGTATTTGAAAAATTAAAAATAAAACAAATCATTCCATAACATAGGCAACTACGCATGTTTTAAATTTTAAAACCACCAAATTAGGGTGGGGAGATTGGAATGAATGGATATGTAAAATTTTGTTTGTAATTTCACAAAAGAGTAATTGATTAAATAAAAATGAATCGCAATCGATGCTATTCCGCCAACGAGTGTGATTGGTGATTACACTAATAAACAGATATTATTCAGTTTATTAATAATTTCCTAATCTGAAATGTAAAACTTTCAATATTCCAGCAACATGTTTTGTTTTGGTGTTTGTAAATTCGCAGTTCATGGTAATTTTTACTGTCCATCATGGTTCTGATACAATTTAACTGTAATAATGTAAATGTCCATATAAAACACGTGGCAGGAAACTCACTTATTCAGGTTTAACTCTTTTGTTTATCACGATATATTTAAAAGTTCTGGATGTTTTTAATTTAAATTATTAAGTTCCTACATGATTTACACTTCATAACTCTATAGTGGTTCATTTATGACATTTAAACTAATCTTAAACCTTGATCCATTTTGAGACAAAGAACTTTGAAAATTATCATCATCGGTTAAATTAATATTGTCATGGACTCGAAATGACAGGTGTATTTTATGTTTATTTTTGTATTATACGGATGTGTTACATATTTCTTTACATCTTGAATTAATTTCTCGAATTATTATTTTCATTTTGTATTAAATATGCATCTTCCTGTGTTTATTTCATACGTGCTCAAGGTTAGTTAGTAGAGAGAATCTAAGTAGTAATCTATTATTATCTATGATATGTGCTTCGTTTTATCTGTTATTTGGATTAGTTGACACTATGATGTAGTATTAATGAATTCATTTTGATTTAATCATGTAAATTCTTGTTGCTTAAAATTGTTAGTAAGAGTCTGGTATAATTTAATTTTTGTTTGTTTCCTTTCTTGTAACTATAATACTCATTTTGCTATCGTCAAAATTCAAGAAATTTTTAACTCTAACCGAAATAAAAACACGTGATTCCATGATGATGGCGAAGTGACAGGACCACACACTCAAATTGAAAGCTTTTGTCTCCTTGTCGTTTTCACGTCAATGTTTATCTGCAATAACGGATTTTCAAACTTAGCAGACCAAGAATCTAACCAGCTGCGTCATTAGCGAATATGGAAGTAAGCTACAGGAATGTGAGTGTTTGAATCTCGTGTTGTGACTTTAGTTGGGGCAAATATGTCTTCACGAGGAGACATCCTTCGCACCGTTGTCGCTATGCACTCCCATGATGCGTAGATTATTTTCACTCAGCCAGATCTTTTCTTGCCTGTCTGCCATAGTTTAAATCTGCACATCATCCTAGTAACTTGAGTATTACTAGTTTAGTATCGTTGGTATTGTTACGAAATACATCCTTACGCCGCCCCGGTACGACGCCTATGGCCGTCGAGAGTTTTCTAGCCGTACGCCGGGATGACTCATCGAAGGCGGCGTTCGCATAAATACAAGTCTATGTACATAATCGCTGTAATAGTTATTTATTAGTCGTGTAAATTCTAGGTATTAAGGAATAAATTGTTGAGTTTTACCTACGCCAATTTGAATCACCCGTTCAACGTAACAGTGTTATAGTACCTTTAGTGGGATTTAATTTTTATTATAGTTCTGATACACTGTCCTCTTCAAATCTCTTCACCTGATGGAATGCTGCTAATAAAAATCGGAAACAACACTTGATTTAAACGTATTCAACCAAAAACACCCACGTAGAGTGTTCCATTTTTGTTGATTTGTTTTGTTGGTAAATTTTGAATTTTTCGCGGGTTTTAAAATTTTTCCAGATTTATAATTTTGGCAGAAAATTTGCATTCGCACAATGACTTTGAAAAATATTTATGAAAAGATATGACCATATTCATGTATATTAAAATAAATCACTGTTTTTCTTTGTTTTCGTTACACCATTTCCAGATAATAGAAGACAGTGTATAGTTTCCCCAGTTCTAATTCGGTTTTATGATAGTACCCCATTGTGTAAAAGTTAATTTAACCATGCTGTTACCATTATACTGTATAATAGTTAAATCCTTTGTGGTGACCGAATTTGAATCGCGCTAAATTTAATCAACAGCGGCGCAAAATCACATTTGAATAATAATTTGAGTTTGAGAAGAAAAATTCAATCAAAAAAAATCGTTAAACATAGGCAACCGTGTGCACGTTAGCGCTTTGTTGGTAGTTGGTCGCTCCCTAGGGGATGCTTTAGTTAGAGGGCGGTAGAGTAGACAAGACGGCGGCATGACGGGAGCATGGTGAAAGCGTTATTATTGTTTGGTTCGGTGTTGTGTGAGCATGATGAAAAGGACGCTGTAAGTTAGCTAGGTTAAATTAGTTGGTTTGGTAGTTAATCAAAAAGAGGAAGCCTTTGTTTAACGAAAATTAATCGTAACGATGGCGCCCAGTTTTCCCCAACACGCGCAGCTAATTCTTGCGGCTTTCTAGTCGGAAAAAGTGTTAATTTACGTGCTGTAAATTTGTTTTATTGTTTGTTAATACACAGATCAGGTTAGGATTTTAATCGTTAACTGGTTCTAACACAATTTAACAGTTCTAACACAATTTAACAGACATTGGATTTGCTTAGACAGACATTTACTAGGAGATTTCATGAAATTCACTTTGTCAGGATAACACCCTTTGCGTAATTATGAATAAGTTTCTGGATGCTAATACTTAAGTGTTACATTATAACACTTCTTAATTCTTCACACAAGATTGCTAATAGTTTCATTATTTTCGTGAACTGCCGGGGGGGGGGATTATTTCTTCCTTTAGACAGTTATCATCGTTATCATCATTACATCACCGAGGTATTTCCTCGCAACGTTAAAGATTGATTTCATCACCGAGGCATTTCCTTGCAACGTTAATGATAACATCACCGAGGTATTTCCTCGCAACGCTAAAATTTACATTACCGGGACGCTTTTTCCTTGCAACGATGACTGGATATTTCTGTGTTTATTTATTGTGTTTTGTTGGGGTAACCAGTTCACGATAAACTATCAAAGTTAATTATTTTAAGTAACCAATCACTTGGATCAAGACATAATTTAACATAATGTAAACTCTTTGTTTGGATCGTTAATAAAGTGTGGCAAATATTAATCTCATGTAAATTTGTTAGCTTTGCAATTTCCACCTCATACAATATTTCTCTATCTCACAATTTTAACCTCAGTAATTTTTTTTCTTGTATAATTTTAAATTGAACGTAAACTTTCATGCACTACAGTTTTCACCTCACGCAATATTTTTATTTGCACAAGTTTATTTCACACCAGATCTTTGTTTTACAAATCTTTGCTAGTTTTTTTTTGTTTGTAAATATTTTGTTAATGAATGTTTTCATCATATAAATTATCTGATGTCCAATCTTAATCTCAAATAACAATTATTTGTTGTTTAAAATTTCACAAGATTATATGGCGAACTTAAATGTTTTTAATTGTTCTTTTGAAACTTTAAGACTTGTTCAGTTGTCGTTAATATCAGAGGCATAGAAGTTGAACATTTAAAATGGAATTGAGGTTAAATAACACAGAAAACGTGGCAGAAGCGGAGTGCGCGGTTCCTAGTCGAGCTGGCGAGATTTATCGCGTCACCTGCACAAAAGATGCAGGTTAGAATAGAATTCAGGGGCGGTCGAGATAACGTATTGTAACGCTGTCGATTTGCGCCCAATAGTCGAGACCCAAATGCTAGTTTGCGACCGTAATGACCTGCCTCACGGCAAGTCCGTAATAGAGAGATGATTTGAGGCAGGCTTGCGACAGATAGAATCACATGGTGGGGGAAACAGCCACGACCGGAGCCCCAAACTCCGCTTGTGTTAGAAGGCCCCTATAGGTATTTTTGTTGTGTTCTTGTCGACTGCCATAATTTTAAATTTGCCGCCACACGTCTGTAATAACTTGTGTATTTGCATCCAGTTACTTTAATTCAGATTTTGCTTTGTTTTTATTAAATTTGTAATATTCAAATATTTGCATTGATTTAGAACGTTTAATTTGATTTCATTTCAAGTCATTCAAAGTTTTTTTTTTGAGCTGAACAGCGATTGCGATTCGGCTCCCATTGGGCAGCCTGAGGGTAAGTCACGAGCATTGACACGAGTCACCCTCGCACGTAGCTTTTTTCTTTTTTTTTTGTCAGTGGAGGAATAAATAATTTTGTGCCCTTCATAAATTTTGTTTTATTTAGTGATACTTTTCCAACCTTGGGGTCCACCATTTGCATCTGAGCGCATCCCGCCATTTTTCAAAAACTCAACGTAGGGTTCCATTTGGTCACACGATCAAAGCCAAGGCCAAATTTTGAATTTTTAAATTTTTCGCAGGCTTTCAATTTCTTTTTTCATATGTCAATTTAAGGCGGGATGTTTGGGTTATCACACCTTATTTAGGACTGTCCCATCACCGGCAGTATTAATCTATTGTTACGAAATAAATCCATACGCCGCCCCGGTACGACGCCTATGGCTCGTTGAGAGCTTTCTCGTATGTACGGCAATGATGACTCATCATCGAGGACGGCGGCCGGCGATCCCTAAAGGAAAGCCTGGAAGCGAAAGTCGCGATGGGCAAACCAGAAAATCTCGAAGCAGTGTTCTCGATTCATCGACAGAAACATATAGGTTTAAATAGAGGCCACCGTCTGGAACGATTATTATTATTCAGTCCCATTCATTTAACAAGCCGAGTCCAACGAGTGTCGAGAAAACCCAGCTGCGTCGGAATTATTTTGTACATAAATAAAATTGTAGAGTTTAACCCATACCGATTTTAATCACCCGTACAACACTATTGTTAAGAAAGTTAAAACAGAATTAGAACTGGGGAAACTATACAATCCTTGGCCTTTCATTAAAATTAGATGAGATGTTAAACAATTCAACACACACGATATATGCCAATATAAATGCTCAGAAAACACTTTTTTTTGTACAACTTCTGCGTTTATTGGTAATTTTCATACAATTATATTTTATTGAACTTTTTAATTTTAACACTAAAAGCTTATTCGATTATAATAAAAAAATAAAACATTTATCCTACTCCTCTTAACATTAGTGAATCCTTAAATAAATTTGATTTTGTGTTCCACTCCAGTCTTGCATTTTCATAAGATATCAGAAACTGTATGTCCGTTGAACTTCGACGGGACTGAAAAAATAAGCTAGGTCTGCACGTTACGCAAAAACACTTTTATCAAAAATAACTAATATCTGAAAATCAAAAATTCTTAAAAGTGTGAAAAATAAGTGACTCTTATATCAAAATCAATGTTTCTAACATCTTTGTTAACCTACAACTAGTAAACACACGTAGTAACAGACGTACATATTTGAGATTGAAAACATGAAAACAGTAGCAATAAATATTGGTGCTTGTAACATTTAGAGCTTATTGTCGATCCTTATCTTTGACAGTTTTCTTGGCATCTTCTATGTACTGCATGAGATTTGTAGTCATGTAGTATGGACGATCCATGCCATCATTCATGCAACGGTCTTCGCAGAAACACAAGAAGATGGTATCAACAGCAGTCTAAAAGTTTTTTTTTTTAATAAACAGACACTATGAAACCGACTTAATACGTACCTCGAAAACGGCGAAGAAACAATCAGCTATAATTCCAGTAACTATTGCGCTAATCACAATGGCAGCCCAGAAGTGAGTGATGGAACTATCTCGAATCAAAATTCCAACTCCAACGGTACATACTACTATCAACACCTTCGCCATGTTCATTACGAAATCTCCCACAGAATTGACAGCGATTGTACTAAGAGCGTTTGTCCATAACAGTCGCACTGCTCGTTTCCCGGATATATAAAAGGGTTGTCCATGCATAGCTTTAAATTAACATCAATAAGTACAAAAATTGTCTTTAAAAAAATCTACAATTACCGGTTTGAATGTAGGCATTTTTGGAAAGATATTTTAGGAAGTCCTCAATAGCTCCTAAACAACAATCTATCAAAACCTTCGCTTGCCGACTATTGACCAAACTACGTATTAAGGCTTTTATAATGGCAATAATTGTTATAATCAAAGAGCCAAACGCGACAGTGCCTAAATGGTATCTTATCAAATTATAAAAACTGTTATAGATAGGAGATGTCAAAGTTGATTTATCCCTGAAAATCGCTACATTAAAAAACTATTCGTGAGAACTAAGTAGTTTACTTACCTTGAAAAGTAATATGCTGAAACAGCACCAGAAATTACCATGTGTTGGCAACCTACAATAAATTGAGCCATCCACAAGCAAATAACTATATGAAAGAACCACGTGAAAATCATTACGCCATTGGGAACATATTCGTACAAGTCGCTGTTCACAAGTTGGAGAGTTCCAGTTGTTGCAAAAATGATTAAAAAGAAAACCAAAATAATAAGTAAAATTGTGCTTGCTAGAAGGGTCTGCAAAAAAAAATTAGATTAGAAACGCGTCAACGATTTTTTGTTCGAGTTCACAATAAGCAATTTTAATTTCAAAATTCATTACATTGTAAGACTTTTATACAGGGTGATTCAATTTTTTAAAATTAATTGATTTAAATAATTAAGTTTGCAGCGCTGTATAACACCAACAAATGCGGAGGAGTTTTCATTTGATGAATGTTAGTACATATTTCGAAATGTGATGAGTTATTTCACCAAGCGGTTAAAAATAATTTATCAAAACAAAAATAAACGTTTGCTGCGGATGCTTTTAGAAACCGCGTTGTTTGTTACATAATCATGAAATTATGTTGTTAACTTGTTTTACCCAATGTATAAAAATTACGATGTAAACAACCGTACATTTGACAAACATATTTTCATTGTCTGCCAGTTACAATTAACATTAGGCGTTTACAATTATGAATACTTACCAGCAAAGGTTCAAACAAAATTAACGGGATACCAAAGATAACTTGAATAGCTTCCTTAAAAAGACGAATTACTAGTTTTATCCGCTTGAACATACATATTAGCATGATCACGAACACAACGGATAAAATGGTAAAGAAAATGGCCATGTACTGCCAAAATTGTTTATTTGAGGAATCCGCATTGCTATGAACGACCCTAAAAATTACAATAAAATAAACACAGTGTCAAAAAAAAGTTGCAATTTACATACCACATCACAATTGTTAAAATTATAAACCCAACAATTGAACCGATAAGTATTACCCATACGACGACTGCCACAAAGTAACGGAACAAGAAAAGCATTCCCACAGAAAATCCTAAAATTAATCTAAAACTAGAAACGCCAACATGGTAAGTTATTTGTTTACCTAATCCTATTAAGCATAACGCCACAATGTACCCTGCAGATTTGTTAATGTCTGAAGTTAGTTCCTAAAAATATAAAATATAATATAACATATTCATATGACTGAAGTAAGTGCGTTATTACCGCTGCAAATTCTTGTGATTCGTTATTATCTTCAGCTGGAAAGCATCGGTTGAGTATTATGACACTAAAAAAAATGGTCAAATTATGCCGATTCTGAGAAAATCTATATCAGAAGTATGCAACTACAGTGAACTTCCTTAAGTCAAGTGATTTTGACTAGTAAAACTTTTCAATTTTCATTAATTTCGTTTAAAACATTTATCGCAGGCTATGAAATCGCATAGTGTACGATATATGTTAAAGAAGTTCGATTCGTTTCGCTATATGTACAGAGATAATAGTTTTTAATATCTTACTATTGATTAGTATCACAGCTTTCGGCGCATTCGTAATTTAACATGTCGTCCTCTGTGTAGTATCTTCCGACGTCTACATTAGTTTTAGTATATTTCAATAATCTATAAAAAAAAGGTAGTTTCACTTACATTTGAAATATGCTGGGCTTAAACTTACGGAAGTTTGCTTTGGTCCTTTCCAGAACAGTCGATACCGTCCACGTGAGTGTTGTTTCTTCCACATATATTGCCGCATTTGTCAAAACCACGTACAAATCGATTGATATCAGAGTGCACAAATGTATATATCAAAAATGGAACCTACGGACAAAAATACAATAAATACACTGTACGTAAAATTTTTGCAAATACTATTGCAAAACCGTACTTTTGCTTTTTTGTTAAATATGTTTTACCAGCGATCTGAAATTTAGAACATGGTATGCTGAATGCACGCGGTTCGAAATTAAAATATTTTGCAAGCTGTTCAACTACAAAGACAAAAACTACTTCAATAGTTAGAATGTCTAATTTCATGTTACGTTAGCATTTCTCAGGTTGTAAAATACGAAAATGTATGATTTTTCCTGAAAATTTTAACTTATGGATTACAGAACCTTAACTATGATAAATTATGATATATAAATAAATCTTGTATTTCAAAATATTTTTTTATAGTAACGTAATGGAAAGTCTCAAAAACATATATAAATATTCGAAGATATATTTTGTCATCAAGTCATCTCATTCTCGTAAATATGTAGAAGGTGGTCGATATCAACAATTCTCTGTATGTACATACCAACATTTAAACATTTGTCGATTTATTTATACACAAGGTTTAAAATTTACAAATTCTCAATTTTCTCGTGTTTCTCAAATGAAATGCCCTGTATTATTTATAACATTTGTAATTATCCCTACGTAAAGTTTCTTTTGATACAAGAGCAATGGGGTTTATGTCGTAATTTCAAGAAGACTATAAAGATAAATCTCACACAGGTGGTATCAAAAGAAAGCTTATTTACAACTGTGCTCGAAAATATACAGCGTGCTCCCTTGGAATGATATGAAAAATTGAGAATTTGCAAATTTAACCACTCCGTACAAAAAGGTTAAAATTGATTAAACTACATCTTTAATTTCAATGGAACAGAGTTTCCAATTTTTAAATAGAGCATCATTTTATATAAATATTCAAGTTTGTTAAAAAATTGTTGTATAATATTTATTCTTATCCTTTTTAACGAGTAATTTCAACAAGGAATCTAAATCTGCAAAAATGTACGTAAGGTAAGTAGTTTTCAAATAAAACACACTAAGCTGTAACCTTAAACTAATTTTATCAGACGTCAAAATAGTTTTCCTATGATTCTCGAGGAATGCGGAGTCATTGGACGTCAGGCTGTTGGTAGACCCTGAATATACAAGGTGAGTCACTAAGTGGGCGCTCGATACCTCGTTAATTGTTATTTCATAAAGATAAACAAAAATATTCAAAACTAAAATTATACGACGACGAGTATTAGAAATAAAACTATTTTCAACTATAGCATTGTGATTTTAACGCGTGCACTTATCCTAATCTACTTACGCTTTACTGCATATTTTATTTTTTAAATATTGTTGCGTTGGTGATCAAGTTATCCCAATTTTCTTGAATTTTTTATATACCTATAAGTCTAACATAAAAAGGAAGTGGATTATGAAATTGCAAATAAACAGGTATGTTATGTGTATGTTTCAAATAAGTTTTTTATAATAAAATTTTCTTATAACGTAATCAACCTTTTATTAGAGACAAATGTACCAATTTGGATAAGTACAGTGTAATATTTAACAACTGCACTATTTCCCCAAAATTTCAGATAAATATATATTTCTGAGACACATGTAGAAACAATTCTAAAAAATATGCAGTGATAAGTCACCAGTGCAGAAGCATAATATTTTGTACATTTTAGGTAGCATTTATTCAGCAAAATTCTGAGATGACGTCATAAGTTTTACGAGGGTATAAACAGATAGATATGTTCTGAGCGTAGAAATCGCAATAGTGTTATTTTTATCATGTGGTAACATATTTTATGGATAAACAAATGTATGCGTTTCCTTATAATCCAGTAAAATTCAATCAAATTGGGTTTTAGTATACATACAGTGTATAAAAAAATTCTAAAATATTTAATTTTCCAATATCCACAATAACTTTTTTCGAATTTCAAATTGAACACCCTGTATTTTACAGTTTTTCTTATTTATATTCTTTTGTCTATTTAGCTGAAAATACGGATCTCAGTTTTTGTGCGCCTTTGTAGTGCTACAAAAATCAGCAAAGTTAAAACAACACCGCGACAGAAAACAAAACACAAACAAAATATGTATCCTTTTAAAGCCGAGGAAGATGTCAATTTGGACAAGTAAAAATATATAGGGAGTTCTATTAAAATAATAATAGTTACAATAATAACTTGTATGTTGCGCCTCAAAAATTAAGCACTCTGTATAGTTGAAAATAAATTTATTTTCTGGTGCGCACAGCCGCATAACTTTAGTCTTGACTGTTTGTTTACGTCTTTAGCGTTTAATGATTCAAAACTACATTGACGCACGAAAAGTTAATACCTACTATTTAAAATAAATTTCCAATGTTGCCATAATTTACTTAATTTGTTTTTTAATAACAAAAATTCCTGCATTATTTTCTGGAACATCAATCAAGTTTTTAATAGCATAATCAATAACGGGCGAATTTTATGGGACCTCCATCATAATGAGATAAAGATAAACCTAGATTGGGTTACTAAAATCGATGTATAGGTCAAGACCACATAGTTTACTTTGTGTGACTCGTTTACCATATTTTTCATTATTAGACAAATTTGAAAAATTACTAAAAAACCACTAATACTGTGTATTAAAGATTGACATTATAACTTTGTTCATACTGTACTGTACACTACATACTTCATTTTACTTACCAATGCAACTATTAAAACTGCAAATGTTATTGTAAATTTAAAATCAGTCACTTGTCTCTTTACGGGTACTTCGGGAATTACATATTGGTCGGTCGGTGCTTGAAGTTTTCGAAATTCTCCAATCTGAAAAAAAAAGTTTTACGTAATCACCATAATAATTCAACATGTTAATTAGGCTTTATATTGTACGAAAATCAATATACCTAACTACGTAACAATGCAATACAAAAGAATTGAGAAAAAGATATTCTATATTTTTTAATAACGCAAATTTAAAAATGGAAGATGTTTCTTTTAGATCTCGTTGATACAAAACAAGATCATTACAATCAGTCTTTACTCTACCTATATTTTGTAAAAACACTGTGATTGAGTTTTGAATCAGTAACCGACATGGCGTCATAACATTCTATTTATCACAAAGGCTAACATCAGTAATACACAACAATACGTTCATGTTTGCTTACTACACATGATAAATATTTAAAATCAATAAAAACTGATTTACTTTCCTTTTGATCAAAATAAAATTCATTTTTGATACATATAAGTGCAGTAAAAAAATACAAAATTTGATTTAAAACCGTATTGGACGTCTGTTTTTTGGAGATTTTTGGATACTTTTCGAATTCAAAAAGCTTATGACTGTCAGTTTTTTATTTCCGAGCATTTTTGGGTTCGTATTGAAATGATAGGCTGCACGTTATAACAGATACGTATTTGAATATATCCAATTAAAATTACGTAATATCAATGACGGTAAGGTCAACCGGAATGTATTATTGTACCATCTTTGCATAATTAATGAATTTTGAAATCAGTAAGTCGACAAATATAGAATGTAAAATGTATGAATCAATATATAAAAAAAGTAGTAAATTATAATTTATGGTGATTTCATTTTAAATCCAAACGAAGGTGTACAAACAAAATGACCTGTATCTATTTCCAACATACAAACTCCTTCGCTATGGAATTTCAAATTAGTCTCAACTTATTGCCTTGTGACAACCGAGTGCAGGTGTATAATTTATTCTCGGTGTATAATTTATTCTTGATTATGTGCACTTATTTGTACCTCCTAATCTTCTTGTTTGGGTGGAAGCTGTAAAAACCTTGGACTGAGTAAAAGCATACACCAAGTGTTGTTAACAGCGTTCATTTCATTAATTGAAATAAAGTGCACAAACGCTATAATTCCCATCTATTGCACTAATTCAAATGATACACTAACATTTTATATGAAAATTACTGCAAGTTACTTTCTACATTACCACTGTCAAAGTACCATCTAATATTTTTCCCAATGACTGAAGTCTTCCTGTGGATTTTAATCTTCCTGGGTTTAGTAAACAACAGAATATTTCCCGTTTAAACGCCATAATACTTTTAATAATCATGGAAAACTACTTGACTTGATATCTTCTGTTGTAAACCATGCTGAATAACGATTTGTTATTAAAGACTTTTGCCCCTGCGTGGAAAATTTAGACTAAGTATTTCAATTTGTTCATAATAAGCGTTTTAATTTCTTCAGTATTACGATATTTTTTTTAATTAGTGCAGTACAAATTGCATAGTCATACACGCCACTGGCGGCATTGTGACAGATTAAACAATAAACAGAATAATATGTTACAAAAGCAAACGAATTGTTCAGAAGATGAATATATTCGTTCGTATACCGCGTTTATGGTGTGTCGTTTTTTTTTTTCACTGTCGCTAAGCAGACAAATATCTACAAAACAAATTTCAAAGAGTAGTGAAATTAGAAATTCGATTCAGAAAAGAAAGATCAATAACATGTAACAATATGCAGGTATAGGATGTTCAAAAAATGGCGCACCAACTCAACGTTACAGTATTAAGTTCACAAGACCAAGTTCGAGAAACACCATTAAAAAATTATCAAATCAACTTGACATTCATTTACAAAAATAAAATATCGATTTAAATAGATTGATTGAAAAACGTGAAAAATTATCCACTGTTGTCAGATTCATCCTCAACTATTTTGAAGTTTTTTTTATATTTTAAAATAAAGAGAACGATGGATACAGACAAGATACTTCCAGAATTATTTTCTATAATGAACCAACACAAAATACTGTTACGATGATCGAGTAATTAAAAATTGCCGTGGGTAAAACTCAACTCATTGCTCAGTACCACAAATTTACACGACACAGCGATTATGTACAAAATAACAAAACCGTTCCCACTCTATTTAAACCCATACTTCCTTTCTAGATATTCCGCGATCGAGGTTTTTCTGGAGTACCCTTTGCGACTTCCGTACATATTAGATAGCCCTCGAGAAAACCCATAGGGGTCGTACCGGAGGTTTAACAATAGTAAATTCAAATATGATGAAGTATCGAAAATAAAAATTTTACTTTGAAGGGCTACATCATCAGAGACTTTTTAAATTAACTTTTATCTATAAGCATCCCTGAACGTGCGCCTTTTTTTGAGCACCTATATAATAAACATGAATCACTATTCATTCAGTTTCAAAAATTCATGAACTTTACACCATGAATGAAATTGATATTGCATTCTTCGAAGCCTTGACTGCTATACAGAACGGTGACTAGATATTATCGTTAGAATACATAATTGTTTCGACATGGAAATGAAATAATGGGAGTTCGAATAGTTCCAAGTTTGGAGTTTGAGAATTTGTCGATTTAAAATCAATTTAAATACCAAATTAATGTGATAGCTGTTGACCGCTGAGAAAGTATCGATTCGTGAAAGATCGTCCAGTGCTGACAATCGATACCACGCGGTAATTAAATATATAGTATTTATAAAAATATTTGGAAACCGGGTTAATCAATTTTTTTGGTTGCTTGCACAGTGGGGTATAAATGCCATCAGGCAAAGCATTTCATTTTTTTTATGAATTACATATATCATCCTTGAAACCAACCCCGGACGAGCAGGTATTCGAGTACTTTTATAAGCATCAGTAGCAAACTAGCAAGGGCTTATCAAAAAATATGTATTTCTAGACATACCATACGGGTACCCAAAGAGTCCCAGAATTATTATTTATCTTTTTAAAAAAAAAAATAACTTCATGTGTTGTTAGAATAAAAGAATTTACTGATGTCATTTTCAATTTTCTAGTTTAGTTGGAAATGTCGAAATTATAATTTTCTTTAATAAAACACGTTATATTTTGTTCCCACTTCAGAATCTATAATAAAATCTTACGTTTAAAAATAGCAACAAACTTTCCGACTTTTCTACACGAAAGTACAGGGTTTTAATAAATGATTTACATATAGTGGACTATGAAATTCATACATTAATGTGCCGCTTCATTAACTTTTTGCTAAATTATTAATCTGTCAATTAGCTGTCAAACTTTGAGTCAAATTTTAACGCTTATCTCTTTAAATCACAAAGGATACAGAAAAATGTGTACTCTAGGGATGTACCGACTAGTGGCCGACCGGTCGGATAAGCCGACTATTCGGCCGTTTTTCATCGTCGGCCGGCAGTCGGCGACTGGTCGGCTAAACAGCCGATCGGTCGGCTTTTTTTATTAAAATTAAAATAGTATATAAAACAATTAAACCCGGTGTACAGAACCTCAATTAAATATGTAATTGCGATTTAATTTTTAACACCGCGTTAAAGTACCATGTGACCGACTCTACGCCAATGAGACGTCGCTAATGGCCTTGTTAAATGCGCGATCAACTTAATCTCAGTTAAAATATTGTGTAAACTGGTCCTAAATTGCGTTATTCTTTATTTTTGTACTGAGTTACTACAAAAAAATTAAATGTTAAAATTATCCAAACAAATTTAACACATTTTTTGGAAAACAAAGGAACTTTAGTTATTCCTTTTATTAAAATAAAACAAATTTTTAATATAGTCAGAGAAATAGAAAACAAAAACACACTCTCTGTCGCATTTATAAACCGGTTTTAGCAAAGCCGAACAGTCGGCCGACTAGTCGGTTTTTACTGGCCGAACAATCGGCTAGTCGGTTAGTCGGCCAGACCTACAGTCGGTACATCTCTAGTGTCCTCTAAAAGATGATAAACTCAACTTCTGGACCAAAAATATATGTAAATAATTTATTAACACCCTGTATATACTGTTAGACGTAGCTTTAGTACTGAAATTCGATTATGCATACTTTAAGTATAAATACTTACTTCGAGAGGTTCCTTCATTTGGCGTGTCTGATTGGAAGCTGCAGCTCCCATTGTAGATTTGATTTATTTCTCCACCTTTAAAAGAAAAGTACATATTAATTACATAATAATGTAAACCGTTGGAACGAATAAAATTTTTAAAAACCAAGTTAAATTCTTATGTCGATTTTAAATTAAAATAAAAGAAACAATTTCTTTATCGGTAAAGCTAAACTAAACCGTTCAAAGTCTTTCAGTCCAGAGTGCCCATTCATTGTGAATTGGGTGACTTCCAGCTGGATACCAAATAACCTCAAAACATAGATATGCATAATATCAATATCTAACAGTTTTAAAATAATATATGTTTATGCATACAAAGCCACTCACGACTGAAAGTAAGTGAAGTACACTGGAACAAATACAGTCTTTTGAAAAAACAATACTTCTGAAATTTAATTTTCCGAATTTTATATAGAGATAAACAAATATATTTTGATTAAAAATTTGTCATGCTTACGGTACCTTTAAAACGTCTGTCAGATTTCAAAGCATTTGGTAAATTCGAAATTAAATTGCAAATTGTTATCATATTCATATACACATATAAAATTTGACAGCAATCGGTCCGGTAGTTTCGAACATTATCTGTCAGAAATCGACAGAGACGACAGGCGGACGGACGAAGGGACGGACAGATGGATAGATAGACAGACGTGAGAAACGAGATACCTATTTTTAGCTTACGCTCAGGAAGTAAAAATATGTTGAAATATCTACATTTAAAAGTGCCACATACATTTGCTTGTGATCAAAATAAATTATACGTTTAACGGTTTAACCTTCACATAATGAGTAGAAATTATTGTCATAAGATGAATAATCTAAAATTCTGTGTTTAAATCCTCTTATGCCACCACTGTTGTTTCTCAAGTTTAAATTACTCCCATTTATGTTATCGAAAGAAGACACTCACTCCTACATATTTAATTATCAACTCTCACGTATCTACCGCATTTAAAAAAAAAATCAGTATTCGCACGTGTTTCAGTTAGCTGTTGCTTTAATTCCAGATAAAAATCAAGAAATCCCATAATTATCAGCAAAGATATTTTTAATTTAGTGCTCTTATCTAATTTTTGTCAGTTGAAAAACTAAGAACCGATTTTTTTGCAATTCGTTTAGTTTTCTTTTATAGCTTTTGGTGTTCGAATAACAGTATCGAAGAGCATAAAGTCACGTGACTGGCCAAAAAATTTAACGCGTGATCAGAAATGACCGAATCTGTTGGCAGTACTTTTTAAATAAAAATGTGAACTTTTCTTGCGTTTATGTTGGCATAACGGAAATAATTGTTTGGCAAATTATAGAAAATATCATGATACCAATTTCAACTAAAAATCTAGGACTGCCAACAGACTATTAACAGACTCAGTCATTTTTAATCACGCGGTATGTTGAAAAAAAAGTGATTTACTAATCTGACCAGAGGAATCTTCAAATATCCATGGCTGCCGGATTTTGTTTCTAAAAGTTATTTATATTTTGCCTCCTGTCACAAAACATACGTTCATTTCGCGTTTCATTATATTGTTGGTTGTCTATACATATTTTTCTTTCATTAAATTACCACAAAAAAGTATTGATAACAAGGGCCATCAAAACTGGTATATTGGAAAGAAATACTTGCTTGCCTACATCAACTGATAATTTTATTGTTACTGACAAAATTTACTAAAATAATGAAATAATGAGAAATAAAAATATTAACATAATCTTTATGACCGTATCGCTACAGATGTTAAGAACCAGATAAATTTTGTTTATTGTTGTACATACCATCTACACGATAATCATAAGTGCACCCCAATTTTTACAATAAATGATTCTGCAGTACCGAAAATGATCTGTCTAATAAAATCACTTACAGGGGAGAGACGGGTGAACGGACAGACATACAGTCACCAACTTAAAAGAGAAAATTAATTCCTAAGAAATATACAAAAGAAATAGCATCCACGTTATGAACTCGTAAATCAACAGCATTCACTACATGTTGTTCTAAGAGTGCAACTAATAATTACAATGTTCATCAAGCAGACTAGCTAAATTTTTGTGGATATAGTAAAAGGTATAATAATGTTTAATTTGGATAAAATCAACTCCAGTCCGGAAATATTATTTAATACAGTTGTGATGTAATGCTATTATAAATTTCAAGGACCAGTCTATACATGGCGCCGAAGCGAAATTCTGTGAAAAGTGCAGCTTTTTTTCTAGTTATTCATTCATAGATCTAGTCAAAACTAATTTATTTGATTGATTGATTACGTACATAATAATTGTTTAAAACAGACATGGAAGACTCTAAAAGAAATTTTATCACTTGACCTGATCTCTTTTATGCCTACATATACGTTTTAAACACAATCTTGTTTTGACTAACTACTGCGCAATGCATACTTCAAAAAAATAACTACTTATCAAATAAAAGCGGAAGTACATAAATGTTTCTGCACAGTAATATAGTTTTATACACCATATTCTACATGGCGTTGGCGTTTAATTTAACAAACATGGAAAAATCACAAAAGGACACTATGGTAACCAAGGATAACCATTCAATTTGGAAAATGGAATTTCTATAAAATTTAAAATACTAAAATACGCCTTCAGGAAATATACAATGTTGTTAATGTCAATGTTTGGTTAAGTGCTGGATCTGGTTCTTTCAAAACAAACCCTTTGCCATTAATTACAGCCATCAGATAAATGATTACGTGATTTTAAACCAGCAAACTACGAGGAAATCATCCACAGGGATTCTTAGAAGTGATGCCAGTTATCGTCTAAAGAAGACTTTTGAAAACGTATAATTCGTACTTTGTCCTATTTCTTTTCCAAAAGGTATAACATATGTAGTAATAAAAACGCGAGATCGGCGAACCTACCATTCCTGCTGGTTAAAAAGCACGTATTTTAACTCCGGACATCTATAAATAGATCAGCTTGTCGAGATATTATGCACACAAAGAGATTAACATCTTGACATTGTACATATATAAGTGTACAAACGTCTTTTTCAAAATCCGGTTATATGTTAGAAATCCATGTTGCAAAAATACTTCAAGAGCTACCCGTCGAGATTTTTTTAATCTTCCGCTTACGCAATGACAGTTTTCAAATACAGCAGGAATAAACTAACCACACACATTTCCACGTGATGACTTCGATCCACTTATTTCTAAATCGGAAGTTTTTAAGAAAAACCACAAGTAATCATAATTTATTGCTAGTAATTTTAATATCAAATTTACATTTCTGATAATGATAAACAAATTTAATTCGTAGCAAGCAAGTGTTCGATTCATTCCAAAGAAATGCAAATCCCCCAAAGGGAATTCCTGTTTACACACTTACAAAAAAAGTAAGAGTATGATTCATTTGGGGAAACCCGACATGTGCAAAAGGGGTCAAATCAAATACATGTAAGGTTTACCACAGTTGAATAACCTCTATAAATTTATTTACGTGGCATCGATTATCGGCTCCTTATAAATTCAACAAAATCACGTTTTCAATAATTTCTTGATGCAATTGCAAATAGCATTGATTTAAGAAATTGATCTAAAGTGCAGGCAAATAAATACAGTTTCTAGAAAAAACGTAAAATTTAATTTTCGAATTTTATTTTTATGATAACCCCTGCAGGTTCAAATAAATGTATGTGTCATTAATATTTTATCAAAGACACGTCTATCAATTTAGATACGTGCAATGTAATACTAATAACAACAGTATTATATACTCAAAATTTTTGGGAAAATGAAGTAAACCGTTCTGTATTTGATCAATAAAATTGACTGCCTCATTCATTAATTTTTTTGAGTCATCCTCTTTAAGTAATTCTAAAAAATACATATAAATGCATTGATAAACGACAACTATAGAGTCATATGCATATTTTAGATAAGACTTACTCATAAACCACCAGTGTAGGAGTTTTTCTAAAATTTAAATAACATTTACTATACAGTTTTGCGGTGACATCATCACATTGTTGGCAGGGATGATTAAACAAATTTTGGTTCCCTCTACATGATACTTCAAAAATACATATTCAATTTGCTAACAATCGATCCAGTAGTTTCGGAAATTATCTAATAAACATCGCCAAAGTCGACACACAGACAGAAGTAAAAATAAAAGAAAAATCAAAAAATAAATCACTATTTTGAAAAAACAAATTGTTTCTGAAGGTAAGTAAGTTATCCAGTTCAAATAATCTTAGTAGTGTTCGTGAATATGTTTCCTGTACTTGAAAGCAAGCAAGATAGCATTCCGTGTTATATCCGTTTTGATAAGTACAAGGGAGTGTCCAAACGATCATATGGGACAAGATTACGCATTCCCGTACGCTGTTGAGAAAGAAACTCATTCCACAGGCTGATTATTTATTGCTAGAATTTCAAATTACTTTAAAAAATACAGGCTGTCCCATTTGACATGGTTGTATTGTTTCAATGTGAGAGTCTGTATATTTTTATAGGTTTAAATACCTCACAAAAAAAAAAAACTCCTATTTAAACTAAAATATAACAAGCGAGGCAAATTGTTACTATGAAATTAACTTTTGCGAAGTATCTTATGGTCGAAACAAAACATAACTTTGTATGTACTTGTAATTTGTAAATATTTCTTAACTTTTGGCGTTCCCCATGGATCTATTTTAGGCTCAATTTTCTTCGTTTTCCGTTAATGGAGTTATTAATTATTACTTGTGCCATTCTGAGATTTTGATGTTCGCTGTCGACATTAAAATTTATCGTAAAATTGATGATATTAAAATGATTGCCTGCTGTTACAGGATGACACCAACTGTTTAGATCAGTGATACAAAGAAACCGATTTGCTGCTCAATATTAAGAAATGTAAGATTCTTTAAGGGGATGTTTGCTAAAAGAAAACTGTCGAATTTTTAATTTTGCCGTGTTATTGTCTTCACAAGAAGTTTGCGTGTAGAAAAATAAAGACGAGAAGTAGTGGTACGCTGGTTGAAACTCAGGAAAGCTGGGGTGTAATTTATGACACCCATA